CACCGTGTTTGTTTATGTTTGTGTAAAAGTAGAGTTAAATAGGCACAGCATTAGCACCTCTTCAGCTTTTTGTCCCTCTACTAATCCAAGGTTCCTCGTCCCAGGTCTGTTAAGATGGTGACGGTCACATGATATGCATGGAAATGGACTAGCGCTGTTGACTGGCTTTGGTTTCCTCACTAAGCCTCCCCTTATAATCATTCCCCACAACAGTCTGTCGTAACCTATCTAATCTATCTAATTCTTAAGTTTGAAACCAGCAGCAGTTTGAAGCCAGAAAACATTTTGATCTAATTGCTTTTATCTTGTGTGAAACATTAGGGTTGGCAGCCTACTTTACTGTCTCAGAGTCTCTGTCACTGCTTAAAGGATGAGACTGGAATTCTGTATTATCTTATTGTCAATAAAGCCCATAACACCACACCAAATCCGATTTGTTGAGAATAGGAAAATTATAGATTGTTGCTCATTGTTTAGCTGTCTGGCCCTCAACTTTACCGTTTTGGTTCATTCTCACCACTCTCACAGCTTCAGGCACAGCAGGTAGCTCTAAAAACCCCACTGTACACTACCTGCTGGAACAAACAGCCGACAGACACAGTCAGAGACTAGCTGCTGAACATAGTGGAGCAATTAGCAGCTAAGAGTCAGATATTTCCTTTAAGAGTTGGTAGAGACCAAAAACAGAGCTAAAAGAGAGTGAATGTTCATTCACGTTCATTCATCATTTCATCATTTGTGAGTATGTGTTCACAACTTGTTTTTGCTGCCTCCAAGTGATCAATAAAATCTGTTATTGGGGTTATAAGTGACCCACATACAGTTAGTTTACAAAGGAGAGTTGAGAGGAGAGGGGTAACAGTGTTTGACACTTTGAAATAATGAGAAGTAGATTTTACTGCACTTACAGAACCTAAATATTATAGTCAATACTTTACATTTTAATTTCCTTGGCACCAGTCAAACTGACGCATGAGTGCTAGAACTTAAATCCTTTTTTTCTTTCTTTTTATTAGATGACAAAGAGGGGCCCCCATCTTGAATTTCCTCCTTCAGTTGTTTTGACTTACACTGAGGGCCAAGCTAGCTAAATCTGTGACTGCAGTACTTACACACACACACACACACACAAACACACTCAGAGGCCTTTGTTGAGTTTTCTCTGCTAATCACTCTCATATGTGCAGGGGCCACTAGTAGGCGTGTTGTTTTATCTCACGTCATCATCTGTGTGTATGGCTGTGAGCATGTGTTGCCAGTTAACACTTAAACACAGAGCGAAGGTAAAAGTCTGTGAGTATTAGAAAAAACAGGCCTGTCTATAAATGTGCAAATTGATTTTATGTGTGTTGAGGATGGTTGCGCACATGTATGTGTGCGTGAGTCGAGTCAGAACATCAGCTTCAGTTTGAAGACTCGAGTGGATTAAGAGCTTAGAGACACACTCCTCCAGAGCTTTACACACAAACCCCCTTCATTCCCTTCACAGGATTGGGGTTACTTAATCTCTAATTTATTCTTCTCTGTGCCAGCTTCCTGGTAACCCTTATTGCTAGAGGAAAGCATCGGTTTGAATACGAGGTATTGAATTGAATCTTTTTATTAACTGTAACAAATGATACAACTCAGTACCATGTGTATGTGGCTGCTGAGTGGATTTTCTGTTGTACTTGTAACAGATGCATCTGTCTACTGAACCGAACTGAACTACACTTGACTGGTACTTAACAGCAGATAAGTTACAATGAACTACTCAGTCTTCTGTATGTCTGTTATTGATCAAACCTGCATCACTTACATCTGTCATTATGTTGATTTCTTGAGGGAAATGCATCTGTAAACAAGGCCACTACACAGTGTAGAAACAGTACAATTATGTAGTCAGTAGTTAAGGTTCTTCGTGAAATGTTGCCACTCTTTGGACCGTTTCTTCCTCTCAGCCATGACTCATTCTTGTTGCAAGTTTGTAGCAGCGTTGAGGCATGAGTTTGACATCACCGTTTTGCAATGTGCAACTGTCAGAAAAACATGCCGGCATCGGTAAAACTAATTGAAAAGCTTGGACTGATGATTCTGATAGATAGGACAATTTGGAACCAGTTCCCCACACAGCAGTAAGTTCAAGGTACAGTACCACACAAATAGCCTATCAAGTTGTATAATTATTATTCTTCTTTTTTACAATGTGATGTAATTGCGGCCTGGCAGGAAATGATCCCATGGATGCGTTCACATATGGATGCATTGCTGGTTGGTGTATCATCTATTTGCCAAGCTACCCTTTTTGCCAGCGCCCTCTGAGGCTGCTGTACCAACATAGTTGACTCATTAACATGAATGAGCAAGCTCAAGTTTTTATGCAGCACTTTTGTGGTCCATGGAATCTGACCAAGCCTGTAACAACTTTTGGTTCATGAAAGTTTTGTAATGGTCGATGCTACAGGCGTAAATCAACTGGTACTTAAAATGTACTGCCTTTAAATGCTGACAATGTGATTCCTCAAATAGAATACAAACCACCTGAAAGAATGCACAGACAATAAAATGAATTGGCAATAGCGTTCTTGAAGGGTGAAATTATTTCAGGTTGGAGGGTCTGTCTAGGATTAAAAACATTGGTTTATATGTCAGTTAGATGTCAGTGAGATATATACTGATTCTAATGCGATCAGACTGAAATAAACGGGTGTGTGGCCCTCAGTGTGTGTGGGAGCCTGTCTGTGGCCTCGATCCTAACCCAAACTTAGATTCTTCTTTAATCCCTGAGTCATTTTAGTTACCGACTAACAAGAGATGAGGAGACATGGGATGAAGCAGGAGGGCAGGAGAGAGGCAGGGAAAGAAAAGTGATAGAGGCAAAACAGGTAAATAGACAAAAAGAGTGGAACATAACTGAAAATGTAAGAGCAAGAAACTGAGACATTTGGATAACCAAAACATTGATTGATGATATATCATTATTGGCTTCTCTGTTTGTTTTATTGTTTATCATTAATTCTCATGAGGCAGAAGTCGGACAGTTTGGGCAGAAGTTCCTGTTGGGCTCATTTCAGGTTCTGACTCCTGAAAACGGATACTGTGAGAACAGTGTGTAGTAGGAGTTACTGCAAAGAAGCTGTCTGTGTGATGGCAATGTGCTGTGCAGTAAATACCCTTAAAGATCCCTATCATCCCTGTGTTTGGTTTCTGGATGCCAGCTACATGTCAGGGAGACAGACATTGATTCTAATGGGATCAAGCAGTCGTTAATGAGCGTGGTGTCCTGTCTCTGTGTGTGTCTGTGTGTGTGTGTCAGGACGTCTGTGCCCTGGCATGCAGCTTAAGCCTGCAGTGGATCTTTCTTGATCCTGCTGTATTTATCTCTCGACATGAGGACACTGTGGTATGGTTGGGGTTTGATGGCATTTTATCAAACGTGTATCCAACCTGAAATCCACTTATTGAATCGGATTCCTCTCAAATCACCTTATCACCTTGTCTATTTAGGTTTAGGTTGTAACAATTTTAAGAACCAGAAGATGGGAATAAAATCAGTGATTTATCATTCAATTCACTTAACTTGTAAGTTTTTAGATATTCTCTAGTTTTAATTTCACACTTAAATAGAAAAGTTTTACACCCAAAACACACACAATATTATACATAACGAAGAAATGGTTAAACATTTTATACTTGCCATCACACTTTGCTTCATTCAAACTTTGTTAAAAAAGACTTTAAGTGTATCCAACCGTGAACCCTGTCTTGTGTATCATTTTGGACCCAGAGCTGACTGTGTCGTTACACCTCTAATGGCCACCTTTAAGCAACATTTCCTTGTTACTTGATCTTAACATTTAGAAAATGTCACCACTTTGGTCAAGTAGAAACTGTCCTTTTGCAAAGGCCAACGGGACTCATGAGACTGAACCTGTCCCTGTTTGGCCTCTCTGTTTCATGAAGGGATTCTGGCAAGAGCCAAACAGTCTGCTGTGCCAGGGACAAGAAGACTGTGTGTTCTTTCCCAAACTGCCTCAAAGCAGACACAAAATGGGACAAGTCCCCCGAGAAGTGAGATAAAGACCATAGTAAAAGTCCTCCAAAAAGAAAGAATGAGGGAACACGGAGATGAGGAGATACAGTGTGAGTGTGTACATGTAACACGCAAGAGTGAAAACACTGGATAAATATGACTGTAGTTTGGAAACATTTCACTGGTGGTTTTGCAGTACCTGTGCCAGGGTGCCGAGCTTTTCCAGGTCAGGGGTTCAGGGGGAGGCTACACCTGAATGCATCGCTCCTGCTGTGGTCTGGAACATTCCTCTGGGCTTCAGTAATGACCTCCTAATGGCACTAATGAGCCTCCACAGAGGAGCCCTGCTCCACATGGGTCTGCTGGAGTAGAGAAAAGAGGGAGGGTGAGAGGGGGTAGAAATGTAAACAAAAATTGGGAGAAAGATGGAGTCAGATCTGGATGAGTGAAATGGAGAAGGACGTGAGTGAGTGAGAGATCTGTGGGAAGAGGGAAAGAGGCAGGGAAAGGATGGAAAAACTTCAGCCAAGAGGTAAACAAAGGAAAAGGAAAGACATTTTTTTTTTTTTTTTTTATGTATGATTTACAACTACTATCAATTTTCATTGTCAGTGCAGAAGAAGTAGTGTGCCTTTATGTAGAAGGTAAGGGTACAAAGGTTGGGGTAGTGGATGGGCAAGTGCATCCGACAGTCATTTGGGAAACTAAAGTTTCATCTTGATCACAATCTTACCCAGACCTTCACCGGTGTAGTTGCCTAAGCTCAACCACATCTTAACCAGAATCTTTTCCCAACCTTAAGCACACTGTAGGTGCCATACACATATATTGCAGTAAGAAAGATTGAATTGTTGAATTATTGTAATTGTAATTAATATAATTATAATTGTATCTCTTCTTCTCTCTGTCTTTCTCATCCCATTTCTCCACTTGCCCTTCTTGCCCCTTCCACCCTCTCTTATCTTATTTGATGCTGTTGTATGTGGAGGTGAGTTATCCATGGGCGAGTTCCAGGATCCCTTCCTCGTCAGCGTCCACCTCATCGCCGACCCCGGCCAGGGCAAGTTCCTGCAGCGTGCTGCTGATGCTGTGCTGGCGTGGGTTCACCCTGAGCTGCAGCTCTTCCGGGTCTCAGAGCGGGCCTCCATCTCCCAGCGACCCAGGCACAAGCATCATCAAAACGGCAGCCCGGCTGCAGCCTGCCAGCCAGCCCTGGCGGTCATCCTCTTCGTCCAGGAGGGGTACGGCGGTGAGGAGCAGATACTGATGCTGCATCGTACTCTGCAGAGGCCACCTTGGCACTACCACCACACCGAGAAAGTCAGCAATGGCCGGCGGATGCTACCGCTGACACCATGCAGTCAAGACTTTTTCACTCTGTCTCCTGGCACGCCGCTGTGGGCTGTGCGGCAGGTCCATTATGGGAAAGAAATCGTGCGATTCACTGTTTATTGCCGACATGAGAATTACGTCGACATGGTGCGGCTTTACAAGCTGCTGCTTCAGCGCAGGGTAGCACAGAAGAAGGAGGACTTTTGCTTCTTTGTGGTGTACTCCAACCCGGATATGGAGATCCAGCTGTCGTTTAAGAGGCTCCCCCGAGGTCAGAGCCCAGTGGTGCTGGAGTCAGCGGTGATGGAGGTGAGAGTACGAGATGTCGGGGCGCTGGTGCCCCTGCTGCCACACCCTTGCAGCCCAATCAGTGAGGTCCGCTGGCAGACAGAGGACTACGATGGAAATAAGATCTTGCTGCAGGTGAGAGATCGCTTTCTGTTGGTGCCAGTTTTTACCTGTGCCAAATAAATCTTGGGTGTCCATGCCATAAACACTAATGTTTGAGGGACACTCAAATACAATGGTGGGCTGTAAATGAGAGGCTTTGGATCATGATTGGTGTTTTCAAATGAGTACAATCAAAATGTATGTGAAATACCAACTCTTTGTGTTACCCAGGTTACACTGATTACCTCCACATGGCTTCAATACTTATTATTAATAATCAGGATATCCCCAAAACTACTTAACTGATTTTGAAAAGTTTGCCCATGGGAACAAGTAATTTGTTTTCATTTTTTTGCTCATAACTCTATTTTCTTTATTCTATTTTCCATCTAGCTAAACAAGTTTTATATAACGCTCTATTCTCAGAGCACTGTAGTCACCAAGATGCATGACAAAATAACCACAGAAAGAAGGACGTTTTATTTGCTCTGTCTTCAGTCTGTAAGAAATATAGAGATGAAAGTCAGTGTCTCGGGTGAAAGAACAAGAGAAACTGAGAGAGAAAGAAAGAAAAGAAAAACATGGTTCAGAGAGGGATGTTAAACAGATCCTGCAGCCAAAACAAACTCATACGGCAGACAAAGTAGCATTGAGTCTCTCTTAATTTGTACCCCTCTTCAGGCCATCCATCCAACCATAAATGTATCCATCATCATCCATCCTTCAGCCAGTCTGTAAAAAGTTTGCATGTACACATCTAACTGTTTCACGATGATCACAAGAAGATGTATTAGAAAAGATGTGTATACACACACACACACACACACACACACACACACACACACACACACACACGTTTGGAGGGTATCAGTTTCAGAGGGGATATGTGCCGAGGCTGTGTCAGATAAGTAGTTTTGAAAGTTCAAGCCGATTAAGCAGCAGTCCATTACTGGGATTGGAACAGCACTGAGGGAAACAATAAGCTAATCTATCATGACAATGGACCATATGCATGATTCTTAACTGCCACCTGGCCTGAAGTCATGTGGTTTCTCCGTACTGTAACACACTGTATTACACTGCGTCAGTTAGCTTAACTTAGCTTAGCACAAAGACTGGAAGGGGGGGGGGTTTGAACTTCAAATCCGTGGCCAGAAAGCAAGTAAGCACATTTACCAAAATGTGTTAGTTTTGGGCGATGGCTTACCCTATGGAGATGAAGACACTCACAGCTGCAGCAAATTTTCATCATCACAACTGTAAAACTACAGCTGCCAAATTTAAACTGCTGAATGTTTTATCAGGTTTCTACAAAGCGTAATTTTTAGCTTCAACTTGCAGTGAGCAGTGCACACAATCAAACAGACCTTTCACAGGATCCATTTTGACATGAAATAGTAGGGTAATCACAGGTGTTACCAATTATACTAATTAAGGTTCGGTTCCAAGGCTCTGCTACACTAAATGGAACAGAACCTTAAACAGTGTAATCGGTAACACCTGTGTTTATCCTACTCGTTCATGTCAAAATGGCTGCTGTGAAAAGGGTCTATTTTATTAAAGCTTTATGATTGAATGTTTCACAGCAAAGGGAATCTTGGGATTTGTAGTTGACTTGATCTACCTTATCTTGAGTATTTTTCAACAGATATTTTCTAACACAAGTTTTATATTGATTACCCCAACAAGAGATTATATTGTCCGTCCCAGCTTTGAGAGTTCTCCAACAGTCATTCACCTATTGTTGTCTGTGCAGAAAATGAAGGGACTTTTACTGCCTGACCAAAATAATGTCAACTTTGTTATCTATAGGGTCTGTGGAATGGCAACAAAAAATGCTACTTTGTTGTATTTTTCTTTATATCACAGAATCTAGGCCTGCCCCTACCAACCGTTTTCATTACTGATTAAAATGCCCATTACTTTCCTAGTTTATCTCAATGTCCCAGACCCCAAGGTGACTTCTTCAAATGTATTATTCAGCCTGAACAACAGTCCAAAAGTTCACAAACGATCATATATAACAGAAGCTGCAAATCCTCACACTTAGCACAGACTAGCAACTAACAAGGGAATGTTTGGTATTTTTTTCTTGAAAAATGATTTGAAACAATGAATCTAAATAAATTGTTTCAGCTTTGATAGAATCAGAGCTTTGGAAACCACAAACAAACATCTCAACAGATGAAGACAGACATTTATTAACTTGATTCACAGATAATTTTGTTTCAGCAATGTCGTGTAGTTTAACATTAGTGTTCATTTGTGGTGTTTTTGGCTCTCTGAGGTCATATCTCTGGCTGACCTTGCTTATCCCAAGATAAAGCTTGAGTAAGGGTCTGATCATTGCCATGTCAACAACCTCATTACCCCCTGCTGTGGCTCTTCACCGGCATTGTAGCGTGTTGTCCTCACGGAAAACTGGACAGATCCTGTCATTCCGTATTAGCAGACGGAGGCCCACACGCTTTCACCCAAACATGCACAGATATAGTTTCAGTAAATTACACATGCATGCTGTTGACCTGCAGCGTCTTTGGGTTAACAATACACACGCACACAAACCCGTCCTGCCTCAAGTATCATTACGTTTTAAATCACAGCCTGTAGACGACAACACTCACTGCCTCTTTATTTCCTGTGTGGGAGAGATAAATATGCAGCCGTGCAACCGCTTCATGGCTCAGAGCGAAGGAAAGCGACAGAGGAGAGTGAGAGGAGGATAAACAGGAGGCAGAGGACTGTAGAGGAGAGAGAGCAGACACAGAGGGCAGAAGTGGTTTTAAAAAGAAAGATGAGAGACACTGAGCAGGGAGAAAGGAAAACACTGGAGCTTTATTACACTCACTTTTCCTCCTCACACACAGACACATTTCTGTTTTCATCCTTATGACAACCCTCATTGATACAATACATTCCCAAGCAACTAACTCTACCATTAAACCTGCAATAATTATATATTTTTATATATTTATTTTGTTAACACAGTATTGACATATCATCACCTTTTAAGTTGATATGGTGAACTTGTTTACTTACACATCCAGCACTTACGGAGCAACATGTGGAGTTTCTAGCCACCTGGTGAATGTAAGTCCAATATTCCCCTTTTTTTATGCCACAGCGCCAGCAAGTAGCCATAGCCAGAGGCATTATGTATTTGGGTTGTCGGTACGTACGTATGTCTGTCCCGTTCTTGTGAGAGCCTATGAGGGGCTGTCGTTTACTCATTGAGAGCAGTGAGTTAACCAAATCATGAATTCATGAAAGGAAGTCATACTCTCCTGCCTGCTATTTGTCCAAAGCAGCAGATAATGAGTCTGATTGTTTGCCTCTCAATCAGCAGAGCGTCCACTCAACCAGATACTCACACAGACAGCTGTTCCCTTAACGAGACATTTGCTTAACGAGCTGCCCTCTGTTACCATAGAGACACTTTGGTCAACAGTCAACAGCAGTTTTGTGCTCTTTTTTATTTTATTTTTTGGAATAACCTGTCACTTTTATCCAACATAATAGCTTTTGCCTATTGTGCTGTTTGTTTTTAGCCATGATAGCGATATGGCTCTAGAGATGTGGTCTGTTGGTCGGTCCAGCACTTATATCTCAACAACTACAGACCTCTTTCACAGCAGCCCGTTTGACATGAAATAGTAGGGTAAACACAGGTGTTACCAATGATACAAATTAAGGTTCCATTCCATTTAGTGGAGCAGAGACTTTCCATTGAGTCAACATGGACAATAGCAGCACCCTGACTCTGTTTGGCTTGAATGAAAGAGAACCTTAATCTGTATCACTAGTAACACTAATTCATGTCAAAATGGCTGCTGTGAAAAAGGTCTATCTGATAGATTGCCATGAGGTTTTGTGCAAACATTCAAGATCCCAAGTGGATGAATCCTAATGACATTTTTGGTCCCCTACTTTTGCTCCATGAGGCTGACATTTGTGGATTTAATATCTCAATTTGGTCCATTCATGTCAACCCCAGGATGAATTCTGGCTGTAGCTTTGGTAATCCACTGACTTTTCATATAGCACCACCGTAGGACAAATATTTAAATTTGTCCAAAACTGGTACTAATAATGTGACCTAATACCTTCAAAATGATTAACAATCCCATCAGTTAGCAAATGTTGGCATGCTAACATGCTAATATAAGAAAGTAAACATGGTAAACATTATACCTGCATGAAATCAGCATGTTAGCATATCAACATGACCAGTTAGCCTCATAGAGCCACTAGCATGGCTAGAGACTCTGGTGGGGGTGTTACTTTCTTCTAATTTAGGAATTGTATTAATATATTTGTGCTCTGTGTTTTAAATTGCTTTAATAGTGCCAGTTATGTTTTGAAAACTGATTTCTCAATTTTGGTTTTAAGATTCATCAATTACGGTTAGACTTTAAAATGTCAGAAAATTATGAAAAATGTCCATCAGAACTTCCCGGAGCCCAGGGTGAGGTCTTTATTTAACAATCAAAACCAAAGAGCTTCAATTTATAATGACTTAAATCACAGAAATGCAGCAAACTCTCACATTTGAACCAGCAAATGTTTAATTTCTTTCTGTATAAATTCCTTAGATGATAAACTCGGGATAATACTTTCAAAGTTTAAGTTGTATAAATATTTCAATTTATTCCATCACATTGCAGACATCAGTCATGAGGTTGTGGTAAATCACAGTTCAACTCAAGTTTTGCTTCCATGATATTTATTGTTGTTGAGCGTGGACATATGGAAATCTGCAAACTCCCCTTATCCCCGTGCTGTTGGAAAAATTGTCTTGAGGCTGCTGTGTGGAAAGTTATTGCTTCTGCTTGTATTGTTTGGTTGGAAATGCGGATGACAGAGCAGACATGAGAACAGAAACATGGAGAAACTATCAGCCTCGAGAGAAGGAGGGTCCAGTGCATTTAATACTTACAGAGAGGGAAAACATAGACGAGAAACTGAACTGACAGAGCAGTGAAGTTAATACTGCTGCAGCTGCCTTGTATGTTAAAAAAAGAAAATTTCCGCATTTGTGTCAGAACTGGGGAATCTAGCATATTGCTTCTTACTTTTCCAGACCTGGTACTTTGTGGATGATGATCAGACTGTAGAATTGCAGTATAGCAAGGTTTTCTGAACAGCAGTCTCTGTGTTTTGGTCCGTAAATGGAGGTGTGATACACATGGGGCTCCTCTCTGCGTTGATGAATTCTCCAGCTGCTGGTATGATTCATAAAGTGGCCGACTAGCTGAGAACAGGGAGCGTGTGGGGGCTTTTGTAAACCCTGGGGTTCCCTTGTACCCCTTCTTCCTTCACTTTGCTGCCTGTGCGTCGCGTGAGGAGTTCTTGGTTGCATGCGAGTCCGACAGGGAGAGGTTAACATTCGTGAATATGCATCTCCTTTCTTTGTAACCCCTGTGACCTCGTGTTTAACTACCTCTTCAGGACATACACCAAGATGGGAGAGTTTCTGGGCTCTCTTACATTGCAACAGTCCCCTTCTACAAACAAGCAACATGTCTGAAAGATTCAGACTGCTATTCAAAGATCAAGAATGAACCTTCAAGCTCCAGTTAAATATTGTTAAATCTTCGGATTTCTTTTTATATGAAACAGCAAAATCTGCCAATGGGGTTACCTGAAATCTGGCCAGTACATAACACTGTCTGACCTTAAAACAGGCAAAAACAGACTTGATAAAGGCAATGAAACTTCAGACATTCAAGATAAAGGTTCTTGAAACTAGGCAGACCTGTGGGAGATTGATGACACGGAATTCAAATGGGCCACGTTCAAAGACCCCGTTGCAGACACAGCTGCAGGGGAGGCCAAAGAACCAAAGCAACCATAGAACCTGCTGGTGGACACCAGGGGCCAGGTGTATAAACAGTGTGTACTTTTAAAAACCATGCATACGGTATTTCCCACACATTAACTGGTTTTTATTTATAATAAAAGAATGTGCAGTAACTATGAGTGCACCTCATGCATAGTCAGACCATCATGCACACAGTTTTATAAAGGTATCTGCAGGTTAAAAATAAAGTAAGAAAAACAATGTTTGTTTAGGCTGTTTGCCAATTTCACTGATGGTATTATTTCAATCAAAGGCATAATATTTTTACATAATTATTTATGAATGATGATCTTTATCATTCTTTTCATTTACATTGAAGACTTTATTTTCCCATGTTAATAATATTTTATACTGGGACTAACTTTCCCAGGTCCAATTCCAAACTCCCCCGTTTCTCTCTCGCCCTTTCCTCATCACCTGTCCTATCAAATAAAGGCATAAAAAGCAAAAATGTCTTTAAAAAATCTTTTATCCTCAGTTTTGAAGCACTTTGTGAATGAGTGAAGTGATGGAGAAATCACTGATGATGATGATTTACGGGTACATGTGCTGAATTAGTGATTTGGGCTTTATAAATACCCACAACCGTACATAATGGTTTCACATGATGACAGCTGTTCTTGTACTGTCTGAGAACATTGCTGATGCAACACAGTCGGTCAAACCGCACTGCTGTTTTTCTAATGTACAGGTCTGATGAGAGGTGGAACAGGCAGTGTTACTATGCAAACAGTTTAAGGCCGTTTCTATGTCCATTTGTTGTGAAATTTTGGGAGTGGAACAGAGGCTTGTGCATGCCCCCAGTTGCTCAAACATCGAGCTTTCTAAAGCAGAACCAGGCGTGATGAAACAACATCAAATGCGATGAAAGGAATGCATATTTCTGTCTTTGTGGGTAAACACAGTTTTAGTTGTGGCTCTACACAGAGCAGTGAAGGAGGCTGTCAGCAAATACACGCTGCCAGTGCAGCAACTAGAATGAGTTTTAATTGAACTCAAGTGTACCCAAAAGGTGTGCTTTGCAGAAAATCTGAAAACATTACATTACATTGGAATAAGCTTTACTAAACTCAAGTGTAATTTTGTGTAATACTAGTGTGTCACAGTCTGCAGTACTCAGTCCTTAAGTATAGTTTTAATGTAAGATTACAGACCGTTTTAACATGTCACACCAGTAAAAGCACGGGTCTTATCAATAACATTAATAAGGAGTGCATTACACTGAGTAGTGCCAGTTCCACAGCTGGTATGCTTGTATGCTGGCTCACTGTTGTGGCTTACTGAGACTTTATGGAACAGAGCCAGTGTTAATGTTATTGGTTCCATCTGTGCCTTTTCTGCTGTGACAAGTCAAAATGGTATAGCTCTGTTTAAAACACGTTAATAATGTATTGAAAATAGTGCTTTGCAAGATTGTTTTTATCTTTCAAAAGTATATAGTAGTTATATTACATATAATCACCCTAAAATAAGATGTTATGACTTTCTTGAATTCCATTTTGCAGTGTACCTCTGGTTAGACTGTCTGATATGAATACAGGTGAATATACACTGCAGTATTTATCCTCACTGGTTTTCTTTTCCTTTGTGCTCAGGTCCAGGGCGTACACTTCAAACACCAACAAGGTCCCTGCCACATATCATCCAGTATCACTGAATCAGCCTCGGCTCCATCTACCTTCACCCGAAACGCTTCCTCCTACAGGAACCGTCGGCACCACCATCGGGCGACATCCCGTCTCAGAGTCCACCAGACCCCCCACAGCTCCCACCCTCTGCCCTACGAGGAGCCGGACGAGCAGGAGCAGTGGGCAGACCAGCAACATCCGGACAGCTGGAGGACCCAGTGGAGGGGCCACCGGTCTAGCTCCCTCTTCTCACTACCCAACCTGGGCTCAGCCAGCTCCCACTCCACCTGCTCCTCTCCTGGCCCATCTCCCAGCCCCCATCACAGGAGCCACTCCCTCAACAGGAGTTCCTCCCTCGTGCCGCCCTTCCGGCTCAACATTGACGCTCTGGTTGGGGCTGAGGAGACGGATGTGGACACAGGGGACAAAGTAAATCCAGGCAGCAGTGTGGACCTTACAGTGGTGTCTGCGTACATCAAATCCACCATGCCACAGACTCGGCCATTATCGGCGCCACCAGAAGACATCGGACCCTCCCTCTCTCCTGGAATCCCAGAGAACACCTATAGGGCAGCCACACTGGGCCGGACTCCAAACAGCTTCACCACCAACACCCCATCTACCTTGTTGGGGTTAAGGATCCAAAGCACCAGTGTGAACACAAGTACCGCTCCATCCCTGAGCGATGTTTCCATAAACCAGTCAGACAGTTGCAGCATTATTAGTGCACCAGTTGAAGAGGCAGACAAGGTAGAAGAAGACCAAGAATTCTACATTTGATCTGTTGTTGGAAGCTGGGAGGACTCTCTCTGGCCAGTAATGAATGACAGTCGGTACAGTTCTACTCTGCCCCCTGGTGTTTGATAGTAAAACTTAAATGACAGTGAAACTGTATCTGACGTTCTCATGTATTTGTTGTTTTTGCATGTAGATTTAAGCTTTGTAAATGTCAGGTTATATGTAAGTAAATGAAACTACACATTTAAAGGACCAATCACATAACTGTGTACAGAAACACTATTCAATAAATGTTTTTCTCCATCACTTGTGCTACACACTACAACCTTGACTCTCCATTTTGTTTATTTTAAAGTGTTTATCAAGTAACTGAACATATCCAAATGTCTCAGAGGTTGAAGCAAAAGCAGGATAGAGTCTGAAATAGCAGTGAAATTAGTGAGAGTGACAGCAAAGTGACTAACAAGCTATTTCATATTTAATGCAGAATCTGTGTGTAGCAGTGTGTGTAGTAAAAGATGCAAAGTTGCTAAATAAGTCCATAAATCAGGAATAAAAGAAACTAAGAGCTGACACCATTAGTCAGCTGATACCTCAGCCTGGTGCCTAATTGGCAACAAACGCTCCAAATGTTAAGCAGATAAGCGAGCAAACTAGCACTGGGGTTTACTCCAGTTTGTTCTTTGCATCACGTACACTAACCTGAAGCAGATGACTTGCTGTTTATGGATTTTTATTTTGCAATAGACAATTTTCAGACCATTGTGTATGAGTTGTGAGAACTGTTTTTTGCTGCCATCCAAACACATCAAGTGCACCGATGTATGATAGTATGGGCCCATAATTATATCATTGCCCCTTACTGGCATGGAGTGCAAATTCCCAAAAAAATTAACACCCATACTTCTAACACTAACATTAATGTAAAAATAGTTATACCTGTAATTAGTTTTTTGGCCATTTGGGGCAGCAGAACTTCAGCAACATGTGTTACATGTTCAACAGTTGCCTTCTTCCACATCTAACAGGATCAGAGCCACAGTGTCATCTAATATTCACTCTCTTTTTGCTCTGTTTGGTCTCCACCAACTCCTCACTTTCTATCTTTCTTCCCTAGCTTTGTTTGGTTCACTGTTTGGTTCTGGGCTTCACATTGCATCTTCGTAGAGAAATATCACATCAGCAACAGAAGATGGAGGAAGATAATTAAAGCCAGGCCAAGGTAGTAAAAGCAGTCAACTGGACTTTTGCCCAGTTTGCCATTCTGCAGATGTTCAATAGCCCAGCAGTACAACAAATTTAACAAATAATTCATTTAGGAACATCCCTTCAAGTAGCTCACTTAAACACATTAACCTTGAATTTCTTAAATACCTAACATTTTGCAATCTCCACACACCCACAGCCTCATTCAGTTTAAACACAGGATCCCGTATGTGTTTATTTTTATTAATGCCTCAACGTTCCTTTGCTTGGCAAGTTTAAGAGACACACTGCTTAATTATACCTTAGGTGGTTAAACTCCTTAATGAATAAGGGGAAACCGAAGATTACTCACTCCACGCCTGCTTCACCTTAATGTAAATATGACGAGTTAAAGGGTAGCCTAGTTTGGTGGTTAGTGAGGCATGTTGTCTATGTATAAAATACATTTTGAGTCAATTAAAAAACAACAAATATTGACAAATGAGCTTTTACAGAAAAGTTACATATGATATGTATTGTATTTTTAATTTCTCAGTAGAAGCTAATAATAATAGTAAGAAGAAAACATTTTATAAAAACTACAGAATAATACAAACAGAATCTGAAGCTAAGCATCTCTTTAGCGGTCGTGGAAAGTAACTAATTACATTTACTTAAGTACTTAGGTATAATTTTGAGTAACATGTACTTTCTTGAGTATTTCCATTCCATGCTACTTTATACTTATACCCCAATACATTTCAGAGGTATATTTACTTTTTACTTTACCACTGTACATTTATCTTACAGCTGGAGTTACTGGTTACTTTCAATAGCAGTGGTCTTTAAATAAAATACTTCTACTACTTCATGCAGTACAATGCTGCCCTCTTGTGTTGAACTATGAAGCTAAAGCTTTAATTTGAATATCGGATCTGCACTTCAGGTGATAATATCACCTTCTTAGAGCTGTATCTTGATTTTAAACCAATCTTTAAATTAATAAATTCAGATAATCCATCCCTACATTTTTCAGGACTTGTGTGTCAGAGCAGTTTGACTGAGGTCTGTAATGTCCTCCTCTGTGTCTGGGGAAATCTTTAACAACCTCTTGTTTCAGCTCAGCGTGTGAAACCTGCCTCTCTCCCCAGTTTGAGCACTTAAACAGGTGTGAGTCTTCTTGTGAGGTCTCTGTACAGTCTGAAGAGGGAAATCCAATAATAGTGCACAGTGGTTGTCATGGTAAATTCTCCTTGGAGCCCTGCAGAGGTGACGTCATCATCAGCCAATCAACACAGAGAGTGGTATAATGTATTGCTTCCACATTGCAGAGGTTACACACGAAGAAGTCTGGAAAACAGATCAGTCTGAGATCCAAAGATTCCTCACAAAGTTTTACATATTCTATAGTTTAATAGTCTAAATTAAATGTGTGTATTTTTTCTTCTTGAAAAGTAACTCGTAGTTGTACAAATAGTGTCGCTCCAGCAGTCATAATGATCCTTTCATGCCCTCCTAAAGTGTTTATGCAGCTGAGAGATCCATAAACCACAGAATTTTTTAAAGAAAGAAGAGGAGAAGTCATCTACGGGGCCACATTAGCCACACTGCAAGATGCAATTACCACTAACATGGGTCCTTGTACCTCGGGGTTGCAGTTACAGCACCGGGTGATACATACAGCTAATTTAAAAAAGTATACATTATGACATGATAAATAAAAAACAAAGCAAATATTTTTTTTGTTCAAGATGAAAATCAACTCACACATACTGATTACAAATTGGTATATCACTGATACTGCAATAACCAAGAAACTACTCTAAACTGACTGTACAGGACACCAACTTGAGTGAATTGCAACACTTTAACACCAAGTAGGTATATTGCATAGAAAGTCACAGAATAATGAAAACAGAATATGACCAATCATGTAATTATCTATTAAGAGTGGTATTAATAGAAAAGCACTGGACTTAAAACTGGTTACAATTTTTCAGTATAAAGGCCTGGTTGATCATTAATTACATAACTGATGAGGCTGGAAGAATCCCCAGTAATTGAGTGTCTAATTAACATCATTAGTAAACTAACTTAATTTGCCCTGATGATTTGGTGTTTCAATTTGGTTCCTATAACCATGTTTGTATTCATTTTATTAGTCAGTGATGCGTGCCTGTACTAATTTAATCCCTGTAAATAACCTGATATGTATAAAAACATCTTGATTAGAGATACAGTTATGAATTCTTTTATGTTTTTTTATTATTTTTTATTTAATTCATTGTTTGGTCAGTTCTAAGTGTTTAACCACGCGGTGATGTATTTATTGGATGGGAGAGCGTACTGTAAGTGGCATAACTGGAAATAGTGAACAACCAGTTTTGCTTTGACTGTGTAGGTTTTGATCACTTAATTAAATCCAAAACAAAACAGCTGAATAAAGATTTTCATAATTACATGTTCAGTGTCATAAAACTATGGTGCCTTAATATTTATCCAACAGCTCTGTGCAGCTGGATCATCATGAATTCATGAGAAAACAAATGAACATCTCAAAAATATAATGGAAAATGTATTTGTAAATGTTATGTACCTCAAGTTTTTACCAGTCACGCCAATCATGCATGTTGGACCAAACTTAAAACATGCTTGCAAGAGTAAAATTTTCAGCTGTATTTTTTATGGTTGAAATAACAAATAGGCTTTGAAACCTGAGCAACTAACATTCTTGTGCCATTCCCTGGATGTCTGTCATGACGTTGCACTAGAGAGCTCCTATGACTTGGATGACTGTCAGTCCTCGTAAACTGAACCCTGAATGCAGAAGACAGCTTTTTCCCCTCAGTACCAAATGGCAGCAGATGGTGCTATAGTGCAACAGAAACAGGCTAAAAAGGCTGCTACAACTTCAGCTACTTAACACGATTCTTAAACGCCTCACAATGTGCATAAAAACCTGCACAGTTTATCTCACACACTGTTAGAACCCACATGATCTGAGACCTGCTTTTTTTTGTTACAGTAGAGGATATTTAAGACATTTCTCAATCATTTAAATATATTTAAATGAGATCATCAGCTGTTCTTGACACCCCAATCCACAACCACCAACATTTTTCCCATGGTTCTTCACAGCCATGCTCCTGTGAGGTGAGGGCTACGTGGGACACGTCCCCTCACGTCGCCCCTCTCACAGTGCCAGCACTAGTGGCTCTAATCCGCCGTGGCGTACCTGGCAGATCGCTCTGGCGACACCGGCTCACAGCGCTGCTGGCGTTGCTGCAGCCTGGCCCGGCCCCGCACACCAGCATCCCCTCTAATCCCTCCCCGCCTCAACTGCCCAAAGGCCCAGGAGCCTGAAGGGAAGTAGGGCACTGGAGGTGAAGCAGAATGAGTCAGTCACAGCTGAAACTGTGCTCAGTGAATCTCTACTCAATACTGAACTCTACTACCAAACCATTATTCATTTATACAACCTCAGATAGGCTACTTTAAAACTGTGTGTACTTTGCAACTGCAATATTCGTAATACGGAAATAACTTTTTTTTCATGTTCTTTTGTTGTTCTTTACCTTCTTCTAGTTATTTTCTTATTCTTTTGTACTTCATGCTTGATATGTATCTTTTGCATTAGTCTTGTTCATTTTTATCATATTCTTTTATTGTTTGTGTTTTGTTCTTTTTGACGTCTCCTCATTTTGTTCACAGTACAAGAAATGGTCAATGGACTTATAAATGCAAGTGCAGTTTTGGCCATATCCTATGTCTTCTAATCTATGTTTTTTATGTGCATAAATGAGTTGTCTATGTGTACTTCTCTTTGTACACTCGCATTGAAATTGTCCCATAAGTAACAAATAAAATATTTTGAATTGAATTGTTATTCTTCTGTTGTTTCTTCTTCTGTGGCCTGTACCACTAAGTGATAAATGGGTTAGCCAGTTATCTTTGGGCTTAACAAGCAGAGGCATAGTTTGCAATGGCAAATACATAATGATGTTTAAAGCTACATTTTAATTGTGCAAAGGTTCCTGACACTGTGGCCACTTTATATTCAGCTTAGCTTTGAATAACATGAGGTCGACTTTGTGATGATAATTGAAAAAAATAAATAAATTATACCGTA